ACGCACCATCGTTTTGCCATGAGTCCAGTTGACGAAAGACACTTTTTCTGCTAAGATTTTCATTTTAACATATTACAATGTTAATTATGAAAATAATTCGTGTGTCAAAATGAATATTCAGAAGGGGCGATAACTCTATGCAGTGTGTACAATGACAGATGATACTTTCAAACATCACTTACTTAACTGATTATTGCCGATTGAGATTGCACCGTGCACGTCAAAAGTAATAATGTGTGAACTGTTTAAAATAAGTTCAAGGGAAACTAAAAATTGATAAATATAAATAATGTATGAAATTGAAGAAATATAAGAATTGATACAACTACCAACTTCTTGAACACCCTCACCTAATCCTGTATGATGATAGGTAATTGTATATCAAAAGGAAGCTACTAGTACATTTATCCTGAATAGTTTGAAAATGTCTTGATCAGATATGAGTACAGATAAAATAACAAAAGATAAAAAGGAATCAACTAGTAATCAAGCCAAGATAAAATATATGTATCGGTACAAATTATGTTGATGGAACAATCTGGATTTCTCATATTTAACAAAGAGAAACAAACCAAAATTTTCATATCTTTATTTCTCACAATATAAGTTTTCAAAACTTAACATGGACTGGGTGTCTTTGTCAGTCAAAAGCACCTAATTAATTTCCAGGAGATAATAATTTTCTTCCTTGTAAACAAATGGTACAATGTGCTTTTTCAGTGTCCGATAAATATTGGCCATGTTGATTTGTGAGTGAATAAGGCTTTTCACTTCCTCGTCCTATTTAAGTGAAATATGACAGGAAGCACATTTGTTGATTAAATGATTATGGCTTTACATTTCCTCGTCCTTTGACAGGACGCACATTGTAACCATTGTGTTACTGTCAGCAGAAAGCTCCTCCAGACATCCGTCACCGGATACTAGTACTTCATTGTGTTGACTCGCTGGCCTGAAATGAATAATTCAATAATATTGTAATAATATTCCTACTTCAATAACATTTTTTATAAACAATGCATATTCACCTTCTCTCAAAATATTGCTTATTTAGAAAACAACATTCTTCTGAAATAGAGAAGTTTAAGGAAATTTAATCACAGTGTGTAACGTTGAGTTTGCACCTCCTGTAATCCATATGGATAATATAACCAAGACCTAACGAGCAAATACGTTAACGACAAGGCTACCCAGTGCTTCCTGCTATGAGTGAGTGAGTTAGGTTTAACACCGCTTTTAACATTATTCCAGTTTTATCACGGCGTGTCAGCTTAATGTGGGAGGAAAGCCCGAAGTGACGCAGGTCTCAGACGTTTACCACTTCGGTGAAACCCAAGAGCACGGATATGGTGCTGAAAAACCTAGAAACATAATCGGGGCGAACCGGGATTCGAACCCACAATCATAGGTTTCTGGTGTGCCCAAGGGAAGCAACTCTGCACAGCGAATCGCGGCGCCTTAGACGACTGGGCCACCCGTGCCCCCCTTCCTGCTATGAACTTACATGCTCCCAAGTGTGTTATCATAATTAACCTTTTACATTCTAGGAACTACAAGTTTTCGTTTGCGGTACAACCGCTTCATCTGCGATATGTGGGCTATCCCATGTCGCGGAAACCATGGTTGGTTGCTGTTCGGAGGAGCGACGAATCAAACCAGAGCAATATTGGGTAGCCGTCAACTCAAAGTGTTTTTGTCATTCCCACACAGACCGTCAGATTATATTGCTGTAACTAGTTATAGTAGAGATATTTGGTTACTTGTTATGTTACCAAATACGTTTGTACCACGTAGCATTAGTGTCAATTATTTTTGTTACATTTATCGTATTGAAATTACTGAGAGGGTTTTACAACGTCGACATGCGCCTACAGTACGCACAGATGTGTATAATAGACGCAGGTAAACACATATGTTCCGTTCCGAGAGGCACACAATAATGTTCACTGTACTAAATTCTTCACAGGAAGTTTAAAGGGCATCTAATTGTCAAATCTTACAGTATATTTATTTACACGGGTTGCAGGCTACAAAATCACCTGAGCAAAATGCCATAGATTTCATCTAGCGAAAATGGCCATTGTGGGGCAGGCGAAATGGCACCTTATATTTTGGAATTAGGATTAAAACGATTTATGAATTAGTTTGACGCTATATTCACTGGTAACATTGATTCACTTTAGTCACCACACCACAGCTACTTGATTATCTATTGATTCTATTTTTGTCACTATATTTCCTCCATATATGAGCACAGGATTCAACATTCATCACTAGACACGGCATGTAGATCTGTCCTGTCCGTCTTCGTCCATACAGCACATCGATATGACAGTACCCGGTCTGGCATTAAAAACGTTTCAGTTTGAGTAAATTGAGTAGCTATTTACAATTATTTGTGAACCTGTGAGTTTAATTCCGTTGTTGCAAATTTAGCTTTGTTTGACCATAACCATGTCTTAGTTTGAATAATTTCCTTCTTAAGTAATTGGATTGAAGTTTACCAGGACTGTTACTACATATTTGATATTTTGCCTTCAGTGCATCATATTACATCTTCCAACAGGTGCTCGTTTCCACAGAGATGAGACGCAGGTGAGTCAAGACTACAGGTTCATGTTAATTAGTTCACTTTTAGCTTGAATTTGTCAGAATACTGCCTCGTGTACTTGGCGAAGACACTGCCTTGAATCAGGCATCGTTACGTTGAGACTATATATTAGAAATTGTCCGCATACTTCAATTGTAATCGTCCATAATTGAAACGTTTTCAAGTATATCGATGTGTACCACTATAAGTATAACATTTTCCACCTCTTTGACTTATGTCAACTATTCCTGTGATTATGATGCGACACAAGGTATAGTACCCTCAGATTAAATAATTATCTCATAACTGGTAGTCATAAAAAAGACTGTCCTACATCAATTTCGATAATAAAACTCTATTGCTGTTTTTCCAAGATCTACAATGCTGAGGAAACAGATTTTACCCTGAGGTGGATCAGCTGCCACACTGAAGTCAGACGAAAGCTTAGTAAGTCCCGCATTGAAAGACGTGAGAGCAACAAGAGGGCATTTGAAACAGATTGTGATATTGAACGTGACATCAATGAGGAAGCTGGGGAGGAAACACTTGACGATGTTGAGTTTGATCGATGTTGAGGCCGAATATCAAAGTACAGCAACCCAGACAATCAAATCGGGACATATGAACATAGATGAACAAATGAGCCATTTGATATTCAAAACTATCGAAGGGTCTGCTTGCTGTTAACCGTGGATTAGAGGGTACTCACAAAATTCCACCTGGACCAGGCGCGTCATCAATTTCTAGTTCTTCATCCACACTGTACAGTTGATTGCCAACATGTATACCAAAGGAGCTCATAACACCCGACGTGTACTGTAAGTTTTAATAGGGCCCTGGCCATTCGGGGGTGGTATCCTGAAGGGTACCCTTGCTCCGATCAAAATCGTATCTTAGGGGATTGGCGTAAGAAGGCCATTACAAAGCGGAAGACCTTTTTTGGGGTAGGCGAATGTGATGACAAAACCTCGTCCATCAGATTGAATGAAACTTGATGCATCCCTCAGCATCTGTACCTTACGTGCGCCCCGTGAAGATCCGGGTTGGAATCTTGGTGGTGTTTGTGTTTACAAACATGTTTTAGCATCAGAATCTAAGCTTTCATTGTTATTGATCGCGAGAAAGCCCGCACCCTATCGCCAGGTTGCTCCTTGACAAGACAGTCGAAGGTTGTATTCAAACGTCAACCTACAACCAGCAATGGCTTTTTGTCAATGTTGAATGTCGATAGCATGCAAAGTTCAAGTAGGAATGTACACGTTACTCGACTCGTGACCCGTGAAGATCCGGGATAGAATAGGTCTTCAGCAACCCATGCTTGCCGTAAAAGGCGACTGTGCTTGTCGTAAGAGGTGACTAACGGGATTGGGTTGTCAGGCTCGCTGACTTGGTTGATGCATGTAATTGATCCCAATTGCGTGGATCGATGTTCATGATGTAAATCACTGGATTGTCTGGTCCAGACTATTATTTACAGACCGCCGTCCAAAAAAAACCACTCGCCTCCCTCGATGGATTGAAATACACTCGTTGTGATATGAATTGTATCCAAGGTTCTGATACACATGTTGGTCCTGGTAGCTTTGAAATCACGCCTGTTTTACAACATACACAAGATATTGATTGACATGTTGCGTATTGAATGCATATGTTACACTGCCTTTAAGCAGGTCACGACATGTACGTTAATCATTCGCAGTACAATGAATGAGCGATCAATGTTCAGTGTTGTGTTGGCACGCTATCAAGAAAATGTACCAGGTTTGATTTTTGTTTTACGCCGCACTCAGCAATGTTGAGGATCGATATTGGGATACGATGACGTTTAACCCTATTTCACCTCACCATAATCATATGAATTTTCATTCTCACAGTTCATTCTACGATTCCGACTATATGATAATCTTGTGTTTATGAATCACTATCAGCAAGTTGCTTGTTGGATTATTTACATTCACTTATCACGTTGTGTTAAAATACAACCCCATTTTAAAAAAAAATATTAGCTATACCGAGGCTTTCTTTATATAATTTTGCATTCATGACTCATTCATATATATATATGAGTGAGTGAGTTGGGTTTAACGCCGCTTTAAACAGTATTCCAGTTATATTTACGTCGTGTCAGCTTAATGTGGGAGGAAAGCCCGAAGTGATGCAGTTTACCACTTCGGTGAAACCCACGAGCATGGGTATGGTGCTGACAAACCTAGAAACATAATTGGGGCGAACCACAATCATAGGTTCCAGGCATGCCCATGGGACGCAACTCTGCACGGTGAATCGCGGCGCCTTAGACGACTGCCCCCCCCCGTATATATACTTGTTCTCGTCGCTATGTGGATGAAATAATGCCGATGCCACGTTATATTTTAACTCACCCACTCACTATATCGAGGCTTTGTTTACAAGGCACTCCCACAGCACAGCGGGACGATTATAACAGCGTAGAAACTGTGCACACTGCAGAGATATCATTGTCCCTTACTGGTACGGATGTAAAGTGACTCTATCGATCGCAACCCGACAACGGCAGGCGCACTGTTTATTTATAGCGACGTAAGCAGTGTGACTGCCAGCACATACGGATATCTGACACTTCCTTCTCGTAAAGAGTTGTGCGCAGATATACAGTTCAGTTACAAGTACGACTGAGGATTTTGATGTTGCCGAGAGCCACAGGTAAATTAGAAACTTTTGATTTGTACTCTTGTAGATTAATGCAGAGTCTTAAGAACCCGTTGTATTGAATACCTGCTCTATGGTGTTGTGATATAGGATGTCGGTGTTGATACAATACAGTGACTACAAGGAACTGGATGTGACGATCCGGGTTAAAGGTCTTCGTAAGAGGCGACTAACGGGCACGGTTGTAAGGCTCGCTGACTTGGTTGATGCATGTCATCGTATCCCAACTGCGTGGATCGATGCTCATGATGTCAATCACTGGATTGTCTGGTCCACCCTCGATTATTTACAGACTGCCGTCATATAGCTGGAATGTTGCTGAGTGCGGCGTTAAACAACAAACAAACGAAACGAAACGAGACGTGACGACCAAATACAACAATATAGAGAATATTCACGATATCTTACCAAACATAATTTTGTATATTGTGGTGCGTTGTCCGTTAATCCGTGCGTTGTCCATATCCGAAATTACTATTACTAGTATGAAATCTGCATCAGGTTTATGAAGAAATTATGTGGCGCAGAAAAGTTTCTGTCAATACAGGTCTTTCACGCTTCATGCTAATACATGCAAAGCTTACTCACCATATATTATGGCAACTAGCATCTATGTATCCAGAACAGAGGTCAAGTTTAACATTTTGTGTTAGAGTTTCATCACGAAACAAAACTTCCAGGGACTGTTTATTGTGTAACAAGCATGCCTTTGATTATGATAATCACATCATATTACATTGTGAAACTCTACTACAGGAAAGAAATGATCTGTTTTCAACTTTTATTGATCTGCTTGATGTTGAAACCTATGTCCAGTTAGAATTACAAGATGAAGAAGATATGTTGTCATTTTTCTTTGGTGCTGATACTCAATTCTCACAATGTATTGATATAGTTACATGGGAATCTGTTATACTGATATGTTCTGCTTATGTACTTACACTAAAGCCTTACCTTGATTATGTCATCTGATTTAACCTTTTGTACTGTGTGAATGGCATAACAGTGGTACTACTGTCTTGTATATTGTATTGTATATATGTACAGGTAATATGAGTTTGTGTGAATACGTTTGATTAATTATGTATAATCTTCGGATTAACTTCTGGAGGAAATAAAGACTCTCTCTCTCTCTCTCTCTCTCTCTCTCTCTCTCTCTCTCTCTCTCTATCGTGGTGCGTTGTCCGTTAATCCGTGCGTTGTCCATATCCGAAATTACTTTATACTACTAGTAGTATGAAATCTGCGTCAGGTTTACAATACATACTGGTATTTTTCTGATATGAGAAAACAATCCAGTAAATTTCTGGCAAGTAACATATCCCTTCATTACATTACCCTTTTCGCGAACACCTGGTGTCATCACTGATTTTCGGCGACCCATCCAATTGTGTGTTACGGCTATTTTGCCTTTTAGGTCCAATGGATAATCGAGACTTATTCTCTCCATTGACTTTTTATTAGAGTTATTAAGTTATTAGAACCCATAGTATATACCTAAATAAATAAATTCATTTGCCTAAAAATCATACAAATATATATATGTATATAAGTGATACAAATGATTTGCAAAGATATTAAAAAAATAATGTTCACGAAAATACTGCAAAAAATAATGTTGATGAACAAAACGCATGAATTTTTTTGTCTACACATCCTGACTCAGTTTTTCCTTCTCCCAAATTTGTCGGCCCTTTAATGGTTATAGCTGAAGATTTCACAAACAATATAATATGTCTAATGTAATTCAAATTCTGTGGAGTTGACGTTTTATAAAATGAAGTTACAAACTTGTCTATGTTCTATGACACAGCATGTGATAGGAATTGTTGAATACTATTTAATTCTACTACATTGTTGGGTTGGGTTCCAATCAGGATTCGAACCTACAACATCAGAGTGAGGCACCTAACCTTCAGTACACAAATTCTGCAATCTAACCAACTTAGCCACCGATGCTTTAGGAGATTGGCTAACACTTTAAATATAACGCAACTGACATATGGTTTTGGCTATGTGTGGAATGAATACAATGTTTATTCTAATTCTCTTTGTAAGGATATGTACTTCCAAAATGGTGTACAACCAAATACATATTAATGTCAGTTTTTGCTAAAAAGTTCTATACTAGGAAACATGTCCATGCATTTGTGTCATGCAAAACTAGAAAAAAACTGGTTATAGACAGGCGGTTATTGCACTGCCACCTGTTTAAATATTGCATTGTCACACCTTGCATTGAACAGTCACATTTATAGGCAGGTCAAAGTGACATCTGTAGTCAGTCACGTGTTCAACTAAGCATTCGCCACAGCCCTGACAAGTTGTATTGATTGACAAGGCATAGTCTCCGTTGTCAGCGACAACCTGCCATGGCATTGCTGTTGTATATGTCCCTGTATTTGAACACGTCTTGCGAACATGCAAATGTATATTTTGGTTTAGTAGCGAAAAGACCATAGTCTTTATCCTCATATAATTTCATGTATATGTTTTTTTGGGGTTTCGATGATGTTTAAATATTTTTTTATTGAGCAGCTCATATATTTAATATTCATGAATTCTTCAACTTTCAATCTCTTGCAGCTGGTGAATGTATTACAGGTAATGTCACTGTGACCTTACTTGTGATAACGCTGGTTTCAAAGCCTTCTGTGTGTAGTCATGCGCTCTATCGTAGCAATCGCAGTCACATGTATGAATGTCTTAAAATTCACAGCAGGACATGATTGAATTACATTTATATGGAAGGAACGCTAGAAACTGCTGACTCGAGTTAGTCTGGGTGGTAGTTAACAAGTTTCAACCTTACACTGCTGTAAGTAGGTCACATATTTCAAAGCGCCCGGGCTTCGCTTCGCAATAAAGGAGAGATCAATGTTCAAGGTTGCCGTGACTCACCATGTCTAATGATAACATATTCTGATATAGGGACAGTAACTAATTTCTACTCCTTATTTTTTTCACCTTGACGAAATGAAACCTGATTATTTTATATAAATACATATATTCTGTTTGATCGAGGCGAAAATAAATATGACCATGATGTATTTACAGGTCTATATTGTATCTGAAGGAATTAACTGACGTGACACTACTATACTCACTGGCACACGTATCTATATTTTGCTGTTCATGAACTTCGTGGATATTTTTACCAAGAAAACAGCGTTGTCACTATCCTATTGGGCACATTAGAATTTTGTTAATTTGTATCGTAGTCAATATAAACTTAAACAAGAAGTCATTTGAAGCCATAAGAAGAGATGGGCACTAGGGTCGTTTTATGACGTAAGAAAAATGATTAAATGTGAAATTAATACACCATCTCTGGCCAAAATAACTCAGTCGTGATAAGTATATTTTAGATAAATTCAGTAGGTTTTCTGATACTATGCACTTTGTAAAGAACAAGGATCAAGGGTCATAACTGTATGCTCAAAATCTAAAAAAATGTAGCAAGAGAAGTAACTCTGGGAAAAATGAATTTATGGCACCAATTCGAACTGAGTCTGGATGGGTATCTGTAAGAAGCTTGCAAAGTTTCTTTGATGTAACTTCAGTAGTTTCTGAGAAAGCTTGTCCCCATTGCAGCCGCAAAGCACTAGGTAAAGTACCATGGATCAAGGGCCGTAACTGTGTAAAGAAATAATTTACGGCCCCAATTTCATTTCTCTAACTTAAATAGGTTTTGAGAAAATTTGTCCTATTCGAGAAGCGGGTAGAAGGACAGAAGGACGGACGGACGGACGAACTAAGTTCATTGTCTCGCGTCCCACTTCACATTTGTAATCGAATTAATTGGTTGCTTTTTCAAAGTATAACTGATTTGTTAAAATCACACACAACGTTCACTCTTACACCCGATTTAGAATAAAGCATTCCTGCATCAAAAGCATTCAACTGGTCTAACTGTCACTTCGCTGACATTCCTCGGGAGTGGTCTGTCCTTCTCGTTTCCAAACGAAAGTACAAGTTGTGCTACCGCAGTTATTGTCGTGTAGGTGATTCATGTTGTATGTTTCATACAGTTTGGGTGTGACAAGGGAGGTTCTCTGTGGGGCAGGATACGCTCACCTTTTCGCGAACATCTTGTATCCTTACTATAGGATAATGATTCATAAACATATGGGTTTGATACAGTCGGAATTGTGCAATGAATACGGCGTTCAGCAGATATTTCTTATGAATATGGAAAAGGTTTTGTCGCTTTTATTCAGTTTGGTTTGAGCTTGCTATTGGTTTCGCTATTCGGGAGACTGCTGACTGGTCTTCATTAACGTTGCATAGTTTATTTCTTTATTAGTTCCATGTCCCTCCAAGTGACGTGCTACCCACAGATCTATAAATCAGCAATGTTGCTTAGTAACACGAAGAACAAGCTGCTATCATGTTGAGTTGACGGCTTGGTTGTTTTCAAGTCATTGTTCACAATCGACCCGTGAAGATCCGGGTTAGAATAGCTCTTCAGCAACTCATGCTTGTCGAGTAACGGGATCGAGTAGTCAGGCTCGCTGAACTGGTTGATGCATGTTATCGTCTGGAATATTGATGAGTGCGGCGTTAATAACGACCAAACATTGTTCACAATCATAGCTCTATGCAAATCACTATGTTTACAGCATTGGGCATGGACTACTTGTGATGGCGCGATGCAGGATCAAAATCAGGAAATAGAAGACATCAACAGTTAGTAGCCATATCAGTGATATTATCACATTGTACACCCTATTTTAAGGTCTATTAAAGGGAATATCCTAATATTGAATGAAAAACACACATTGAAATATACCCTTTCGCCACGATAGTGTAAGCCAGATGTAGTCAAAAGTGCGTTGCAATTTGTTGTAAAGTGTGATATGATGATTGAGTAGGTTTCAGACTATGGATGGCAAAGGGTGTAGGTGGAATGGGACTATCTAGCGTCTTCTGGTGGTTATAGTGATATTCACCATGCTCATGTAAAAATGAAGATAATACAAAAATAGAAATAA